AGAGAGTCAGTGAGTTAATTAATGTTTAGTGAATCAGTGATCCAGTCAGGCAGTCAGTGAATCAGCTAGTCAGTCAGTGAGCCAGTGATCAGTTAATTAATGAGTCAGTGAATCATCTAGTCAGTCAGTGAGTCAGTGTTTAGTAAATGCATGAGTCAGTGAATCAGTGAGTCAGTCATTAAATTAATATTTAGTGAAGCAGTCAGTCAGTCAGACAGTCAGTGAATCAGCTAGTCAGTCAGTGAGCCATTGCTCAGTGAATTAGTGAGTCAGTCAGATAATCTGTGAGTCAGTCATTAAATCAATATTTAGTCAATCAGTGAGTCATTCAGGCAGTCAATGAATCAGTCAGTCAGTGAGTTAATGTTTAGTGAATCTGTGAGTCAGTCAGGGAGCCATTGATCATTGAATTAGTGAGTCAGTGAATCAGTGAGTCAGTCAGATAATCTGAGTCAGTCATTAAATTAATATTTAGTGAATCAGTCAGTCAGTCAGGCAGTCAGTGAATCAGCTAGTCAGTCAGTGAGCCAGTGATCAGTGAATTAATGAATCAGTGAATCAGGGAGTCAGTGAGTTAATTAATGTTTAGTGAATCAGTTAGCCAATCAGGCAGTCAGTGAATCAGCTAGTCAGTCAGTGAGTCAGTGTTGCGTGAGTCAGTCATTAAATTAATATTTAGTGAAGCAATAAGTCAGTCAGACAGTCAGTGAATCCGCTAGTCAATCAATGAGTCAGTGATAATTAAATTAGTGAGTCAGTGAATCAGTTAGTCACTGAGTGAATCATTGATTAATTCAAAGAATCTGTGTTGTCCTTTCGTGATTTAATGTTTTGTAAATCATTAAGTCTGTCAGGCAATCAGTGATTCAGCTAGTCATTTAGTGAGTCAGTGAATGAATCAGTTAGTCAGTCAGTCAGGCATTCATTGAATCAGGTAGTCAGTCGGTCAGTCAGTGATGCAATGAGTTGGTCAGTGATTCGGTGTTCATTGAATTTGTGAGTCAGTTACTACTCAGTGAGTCAGTCTGTAGCTCGGTTAGTCTAGGAATAAGTGAGTAATTCATTCGGCAGTCAAATGATCAGTCAATCAAGCCAGTAGCAGGAGGCATGTGCAGAGTCGAGCCAAACGACTGAACATATCTTTTCGTTCTTCTGCACCTCTCGCGCTCTTCCCTGCTTCGCTGGCACACCTGACGCCGCAGAATGACATGGTTCGAGCAGGGGGTCGAAAGAAGCCGCCAGGGTTGGAGTGGTCAGAGGCGATGTACGAGGTGGATGCAGAGTGCCGCTGACCTGGTGGGATTGCAGGATTGATGTGGGGAGCAGGCTAAAAGGGGTACTTGGCGATGGCGATGTAAACGTAGAAGGACTGCTGGAAAGTGAGCCTAGGCGACGTGTTACGCTTGTCGCGGTCGTAGCATGAGACACGGAAGTAAAGGTAGTAGAGCTGGTCGAAGCGGAGGCCGAGCGTCGGTGTCAACGACGACGGTGGCGGCGGCGTCGCCTCAGACGCCTCGGTGCCCCAGGGCAGTTCGGCAGCGTAGCGCTGCCGTCGTGCAGACCTCGGCCAAGCGGCAGACTCGGCCCGAGCCGCAACGAAGGGCTCGTAGAAGCGCGGTTGGTCTCCGGACCGGTTGCCACCTCTGGCCGCCTGTGCCTGTAGGCCGGGCGCATCTGCCGGGTCGGCCGGCGGGCCGACCCTGTGGCCAGTAGGCACGGGGTGGACCTGGGAGAAGTAGGCGGCCAGGCCGGTATGATTGGACGCCTCGAGGCCGAGGCTGGTGACATCCTCGGGCCAGTCCGGGACCAGGAAGACCATGCCGTTCTCGGACCAGTGCTTCACGGGAGTGCCGTTGGCCCGGTCGAGCAGTTGGTAATGACAGTTGCTTTGCTGCACCTGAACGCCCGGGCAACGGACGGGAGTGGAGGGTGGCGAACAAGATGTAATTATCGTGAAATGGAGTAGGTTAAAGTGAGATAAT